GGGATAGCTGAGCCGGATGCCTCGATCCTACTTCGTGGTCTAGATCGCATCACGGGTGCTGTGGTGCGCGGGAGTGGAGAGCTCTCATTCAGAGTGAGTTTGATCCGGAGCACGTTGCAGATAGATGTGTGCCCCAGCCCGAGCAGTATTACCTCGTTCGTGCAGCATTTGCAGGCCGAGATGGAGCAGCAGGCTAGGTTGGGAGCGACAAGGCCAGCGACTGAAGAGAATGCAGCAATGAGGGTTTTGGGACCATCTAAAGAACAATCAACTACCTCATCTACTACACCTCAACATACAACTACAACTCCACCTACAACTCCCAAGCCACCTTCCAATCTATGTCGATTCTTTGCCTCAGACAAGGGATGTCGCCGTGGCAATAGCTGCAGGTATCCCCATACTTGGAGTTTGGTGGATAAGGGCTCGCGGCAAAAGAAGTGCCTTAACTGCGGGGCACAGGGTCATCGCGCCAAGGAGTGCAAGGCTCCCGGAGGTGGTTCCGCGTCTCAAAAAGGGTCTTCGAAGGGAGATATAGTTGGGGCCAGTGACACCGGTGCTACCTCCTCTCCGACCCCCACTTCGGAGGCCTCACGTCGTGTGAACTTTGACGTTGCGGATGTCCAGGCCAAGGTCATCCGCGTCCTGAGCGAGCTAGAGAACTTGCCGTGCTTAGGCCCTACTGTGGCTTCCCTTGGGGCCTGGGGACGAAGTAAGATTTTTGGGGTGAACAGTGGAAGACGAGCCCTACTTGACTCGGGGGCTACGCATCCGCTCAGACACCCGCGTGATGATGGTGAATGGAGCAACGCTCAGGATGTGAGCGTACAGCTTGCAGGTGACGCCCGCACGCAGATGAAACAGACCATCGCGGGCACTTTGTTGAGTACCGATGATCTTTCACAGGTCATAGTCCCTTTGGTGGGGAAAGTAATCGCCAATCTTGGATACCGGCTCCACTGGACAGCGCAGGCGTGTCAACTCGTCGGATCCAACGATGAGATCTTACCGTTGGAAATAAGAAATGGATGTCCCGAGATCGGCGAGAAAACCGCGCACTACCTCATCGAGCAGCTGGAGCAGCAGCAGCTTGCCGAGCTGGACAGTACCACCCAGACAAGCTTGCGGGCACTGACGAAACTGAAGGCAAGCTGGTGGTCCTATCTCCAGGACTATGTGAAAGAAGGCGATGTGCAACAAGCCCGCGCAGCGGTTGACAAGGCGGTCTTCTTTGACTACAAGTATGATATCAAAGACCGTCTGATAATCCCACGATCAGAGCGATCCGTGTGGGATCTCTTGAAAGACATCTCTGTGAATAGACGGGCGAGAAAGCGGTTGTTGAGGGCGGCCGCTTGGATAGTGAGATGGGATCCCCCCACAGTCGAGCGATTCAAGGACCCGCTGAAGCATCTTTCGTACTTTGGGGACCGGGTGTATGTGAATGTCAACGCCATGGTCGTGGATAATGACTTCGAGGATGTTTGGAAGGTGCTTCATTGGGCAGCTGTCAGTAGCAGGGTGGACTCAGTCATTACTCGGGACTGCCCTGCTACTCCTGTGGAACAGGTAGTTGCCGCTCCCCACCGCAGTAAACTCCATTTCTTTCATGCACTGTCGTCAGCAGCACGAGATGTTCTTGGAGGCGGTCATGTTGGATTGTTTGTTGAGGACTTCGACCGGGTTGCAAGATGGAAAGAGG